CCTTGCACAGCGTAGTCGAACCCGATGCCAGTTCCACTCGAACAGGTTCCAAGCGGGGAATTTCATGAGGTAGCGCTTCACGTAATCCATTCGTTGCACCGCCATCCAACAATCCCACTGCCCCACCTCGAGTGTCCAGCTTGTGCTTGAGCTCCTTCATACGCAGCACCTTCACGCTACGCAAGGTCTTCAAGAGCGACGTTGCCTCAGTCAACAGCTCGGCTGCAGCTTCTGTTCCTGACTGGCGAGGAGGAGACTCTCGATATGAAGACGCAGACGTTGTAGGTGGTGACCCCAGTTCCTTGGCCGACTCTTCACCTCCCGTAGTGTCCTTCACACCCTTCTCCCCCTGCTCAGGCTTCTCCTGCTCCTTGGCCGCCTTGACCTTTGAGACTTTCTTCACGTCTCCCTTCTCCGACTTCAGACCATGAGGACAATCCTTCTTCATGTGATGACCTCCACATCCAAAGCATCGGCCCTTCATTTCCGACGTGTCGTGAGCATAGGTACATGCAGCTCCTCTTCTGCATCCATCCTCACTCTTCCAAAACCTGCAAGCTGGCTTCATTCCAGCTCGGTCATCATTCTCCCTTCCCCCATAGGTCGCCGCCATCGCCTTCAAGGACGAAGAGGCCGGTTGTGGGGTAGGCGTAGACACCTAGGCTGCTCCAGTAGGCTTCACCACCATGGTCAGCGACATGTCCTCAATCTCAGCCTGGACATACTCGGCCAACTCACGAACCGATGGAAGTGTCGCATGGTCAACCTTCAGCTCCTGTCTTGCATTGGCCAGCCTGAACGACAGCCGCGGCCCACCAATCTTCGTAGCTGCATCTATCATCCGCTGACCTGCCACCATCAACACTATCGGATCCGGCAGCGACAATCCCAGCTCCTCAGCACGCCCCAGCCACCTCCTCCACAGTCGCACCTGAGTGAGAAGGTCTGTGATGCTCGCAGTGAACTTTGCCGCAACCAAACTCTTCAGCAACTGAGTCTTCTCTGCTCCACCTCCCGGCTGGTAGGCGATGTGCAACCGATAAAGGATGTGCACCACCGACAGCTGCCGGCCTGAGATCAAATCCCTCCAAATGCCGTCAGGCAATGCTCCAAGCAGCATAGCAATCCCACGCTGCTCAATCCTCTAAAATGCAGGCGCCACCACAACCTCAGGTCGTTTCCTGATTCTCTCCAAGGGCGTAAGTGTGAGCCACTGAGTGTAGTGCTCCTGTGCAACTCCCAATGATTCCTCCCACCAAGCCTTCGCCGAGTTGGAGATGTCCGACATGAGGGGAAAGGCCATCGTCAACCAATCTCCAAACAATATCGAAGCTCCCTCAACATTGGGCACAGGCAGCGTAGGCAGTTCCAGGTTCCTCAATGCCTCAGTTGTCGAAGCCACTGAAACACCTTCCGCAATCTTGATGGGAGAGGTCAGATTTCCTCCTTTCTCTTCATCCCTATACCCACGGGCATGATGAGATAGTCCAGGGGGCCGTTGAGGAAGACCATGTAGAGGAAGTTCCCCATCTAGCGGTCCTTGAGTGCCACTGCAAACCGTCTTGTACGACTTGGTGTCCCCCGGTTCCCTCCTGGTCGACAACCTCTTGAGCTCCTTCTCAAAGCTCATCTCCGCCTCCTTGAGGATACGCATCCGCAGCGCCTCAACCTCATCCATTGCTGGAGACTGTGTTCCCCTTTCTCCCAACGGAGGTCCTGCGGCCCCCGACAAACGCTTTGCTTCACCCTGACGACCAGCGCTCATTGCTTCACCCGCTTGTCCATCCGCCGGTACTGACAAAGAGCTGCCTCCATTTGCCAGTGGTTTCACACCCTCTTGCCCCGCAGGACTCCAGAAAGGATTCATCGGAGCTTGTTGTTGCCGATCCGGTGTAGTCGTAGTTCCACCGGTGTAGTCCAGTGCACGCGGCACCATCGAACTTCTTGCATCAGCCAGTCCTTCATTGGTCCAAGGCACACCCAGAAAACCTCCAGAAATTTCCAGGTCCGGCGCCAAGAGATAGAGGACCAAGTAGTCCCTGACCTTGAACTGGTACTTGAGATGGTTGACCATGTCCTTGACGTGACCCTGTCAAAGCCTGCTGCAAAGCCTGATAGGTGCGCTGCATCGCATCATGCAGAGCCGCCATACCTCCTTGAGCTCCAGCAACATCACCTGCACCTTGAGGAGGAGGTTGAGGCACCGAGTGTCTCACCGATCTCAAAGCCCTTTCTTCCTGGTTCTTCGCATCCGGATCATCTTCCAAGGGACGCGGTGGCCGCAACGAGACTGGATCTCCTCTCGGACCTTCCAAAGGCGGGGTAGACGATGATCTTCGCGGACCAGGGTCCAGAGACCTCGCTCTCTGCTCTTCCTCAATCAATGCATCAAGTCTTCGATCTGCTTCTCCCACCTCCAAGGGTCCTGCAGCACCTTTTGGCTCCGCCTTTGCTTGTCTTCGCCGCCGCACAAGCGCAGGATTCGATGCCATGGGAGCCAGCGACCTCTCCTGAGGTGGTCTTAACAGCAACTTGGGCTCATAACCTGTGAGCGACAAAACAAAAGTCCCGTGCGTCAGTCACGCACCATTTCTTGAGCCAAAACGTGAGTGGTCATTTGACCGGTTGACACCTTTCATGGTGACTGCACATCGAAAATCACATGTCCCACAGATTCATTTAACTATGTACTACAAAAATATCCAAATCCATAAGGTTAGGTGTTTACTAAAAAGCTCTTGGACGTAGTAATCTAATTCCATGCAACCCCCCATATGTCTTGCTTCTAGAGTGTGAATTGTATTGCTCTTGTTGAATGCAGTCATAATCAAAAGGCAAGGAATTGCACACCCTAAATAACTAAATTGCAGATTAATTCTAATTGAATTTAAACTCCAATCTATTCAACTCGACTCTACTTTGTATATTTAAATTTAAGTCGGTGTCAATTATTTGAAAATTCTACTTTGATTCAAATGTCTATCACTATAGATTCTAATTTACTTGGGATTCAACGCAAGCCTAATTTGAATTTGATTTCAAGCTAATTCTAACTTCATTGCTGTACAAGTCAGATTCAATTCTAATAGTGTATTAATTTTCAATTTAGTTTTAATTCGAATGAAATTATAATTTACTTCTAGAGAATTGGTGTTACTTTGAGCATGAGATATTTTATGTAGTTTTTCCAACATAAAAGCATTTGCTTTCTTAAATGAATTAAATTCACCCCCAGCAACACCCACTCTCTAGAATGACATCAAAACTGAATTAGAAGTCCATGTGCATTGAACTAGAATCAAAATATGATTGAATTAGACATATAGAAACCAAAAATAGTTTGCAATGACGATAGTGTAAAATTAGATGTGTAAAACAATTGAATCTGAACTGTATAAAGGCATTAACATTAGAAATTAATTACAAGTAAATTGGAATAGTCAAAGTTACAATCGAATCCAAAATAGAATGAAATAGAACTAAATTCGAAATAGACTGGAATTAAATTAGAATTGAATGAAAAACATTGATTCAAAATCCATTACTTAAATCGAAGTTGACTTAGAACTTAGGTCGAATTGAATTAGAGTTGTTTTACCTAGAGCTTGATTAGTAGAACAGTATTGACTTAGAATTAAATTGGAATCTAAGTTCAATTAGAATTGAACTAGATTTAATTTGCAATCTCAATTTGAATTCAATTATACAAAGTTCAATTAGGATCATTTTCTATTTAAATTAGAAGCACGCTGCAGATTCAAATTTAGATGCAAAATTGAATTCAATTATATAGATCTAAAAAAGCCAAACATAATTAGAATTAAAATAGAAATGAATAAGTTAGAATAAAAACTGAATTGGAATTTGTCTATACAATGAAATTAAGCTAAATAAACTTAATTTAGAATTCAATTAGGCTCAACTTAGGCTTAAAGTAGAAGTATGTTACAAAATCAATTGAATTTAAATTAGAAAAAGAATTGCCTTAGAATTCAGTTAAATTGTATGTGCACTAAACTCATAGAAGGAAAAGAGTTGAATTAGTTGTTAATTAAAATTGAATGAGAAACAAATGTCGGTAATCAGTCATATTCCAGGATCAAACCAAAACCTTGAGAACGCCAACACCAAAAAAGAAACAAATACACAAAGAAACCAAAAAATACATTGCAAAACCCAACAAATTCAGACCCATGGAGAGGGACCCAGGAGAGGCTGGACAGGAGACATAGGTGGTCTGAACTTTTTGTTTTTTTTTGTTTTTGGTCAGTTTTTGGCAGACCAGCCAAAACAAAAAAAACAAAAACTTCAGACCCATGGAGAGGGACCCAGGAGAGGCAGGACAGAAGACATAGATCTGAACTTTTTGACATTTGTGTGTTTTTTGACAGGAGACAGGTCATAGGAAGTCCTAGGACTTAATAAGGGAGGTCCTTGGAGGTCCTAGGACCTCCTAGGACCTCCCCAGACGTAGTGGTAGCATATCCCTATCTTACTGTAGTACTGTAGAACTATATATAGTACTGTAGTACTGTAGAGAATGCGCAGTCCATGTTGTTTCCCAGAAGATGTGAACATGTCGAGATGACTTGTGCAAAAAAATGCTCATATATTATGTATATATATACAAATTAGTGATAAAAGCATGCAAATACCAGTAAAAGTACAAAAAGGGTAGGTACAGGGGGGGTAACATATATATATATACAGACAAACCTGATGACATGGGAAGGCCAAAACCAACCATGTCATCAGGTTTTCCATGATGAACGAACCTGACCATAACAAAGCTAGTCACAGGGTAGCGGCGTGAACACCTCGGGGGAGCAGATGATGAGCACCAGTTCAGAGGATAATGACATGCCTCAACCTGCCCAATCAGGAAACTATATATACATATTCTGTTGTTTGGTCTGGCATGTGGAAAATGGCACCGCTGGTACCCTATTCGTCGTCTTCATCCCCTCCCCAGCCCTGCTTGTCCAACCGGGCGCCGGTGCCCAGGTCAGGCAGAGCCCTGCAATCAGGGCTGCAGAGGCCACGAAGATTTGGCAGCTCGGCTCGTTGAGCCTCAACCAGTCGCGTTGCCGGGAGCATATGCAGGAGGTAGGTCCGTTCAGTCGATGGCAACCTGCCAGCCTTGAGCCCCCAGGCCAGCCCTGCACCGTTTTTCCATAGGCCAAGATTGGGGATGCCGAGCCTCAGTCCACAGCCAAGTGGCCGAATAGGAAGGAAGACCATCTGGGCGGTTTCTCACGCACCCAAAAGCATTGACAGAAATCCGCAGTTTGCTGGCTTGCAGCGAGATATGATATGATATGATATGATATGATATATATATATATAATATATGCATGGGGCCATTCCGGCGGCCTGGCAATATCAGCTCTTTGGAATCACCCAAGCCGAAATAGCCTTCTGAGAATCCCTTTCATCAATCCAACAGTAACTTATATAATTACAGCGGTCTGCAAGTTCGAGAATCTTCAGTACCCCCTTTCTCCACTGTAAGCTCAGAATCTGTGGAACCAATCAAATATGACAAATCTGTTCTAAAATGGAACGAACAAAACATTTTCCCACAGAGAAGCCTTTGCCTCACAAATCCCCCGGCCGAGTGGCTCGTGAAGTTTGCCAGCCTGCTGCCTTGGCTCAAACATCTAAAGCTGCCGAATGAGTGCAGGAATACCCAAGAAGTCTGAGGTCATAAGCTTGATACAGGGAAGCTTGATACAGGGAAAAAAGTTGTGTAAAGGCAAATACGGGGAAACACTCCATGGACACTTGCATTTTCAGTTTTTTGGTCTCTCAAGACAAGTTTTCTGAATGGTTCTGTGGTCCCTTCTACGGCCAAAAATGTGGATGATAGGTGCACAGCCACCATGAAAGCCTAGCCCAACCATTCAAAGTTAATTCATATTGTAGCATCTTGTGCGTGTGTGTCACCTGTCACCATCACTGTTGCAGAAGGCCAATCATGTTACTTCATTATACATGATACAACGAGTTTCGTGTTCCCAACTCATTGACGGGTATCGTCGACAGCAAAACATCAACTTTCAGCAACCGGTGACTCGTCCACCCCACCCTCCGAATCACATCTCTCCACAAGCAAAAACATCTAAACGGTCCACAAACAGGGCAGCCCGAATTCACACAAGACCTTTAGTTTGTTGTGCAGGGGTCATGTATATGAAAAGTCCGCACTGACCCTCTCAGGGTTCCCTGACATGAGTCCTGGAGGAGTTGCGGGTCCATGAGGTTGGGCGGCCCCTGTGAATCTCACAGCAAACTCACATTAAGATTCTCAATAGAGTGGAGAATGCACAAGCACATGAGCATGCGGTCAGCTGCAGCACTCAACCAGTGTTCCTCCCTTTTCTCCTGCACCATATCTTGGATTTATGGCATGTTCTAAGCCTCATGCAGCGTGTCAAAGAGCGCCTTTGCGTGAGTTATTGTTTTGTCTTTCTCGGATTCGTCAACGAAATATAATCCATCCTCCAAAGCCAAGTTCCAAAACTAGTCGATCAGTGTCCATCTCTTCGACTTCAAATGGAGGCAACCAGCGGAGTGGATGGCATATGATGAGGAAGTCAAACCGAAAGTCTAAACATTGCTTTGCATCAACGTCCCACCAGAAGACATGTGCCCACTCGCCTCTTGCAGACCTGTGCTGCAAACAAGTTCCTTCGTGTGATGATTGTATAATGCCACACTGGTCATGTAACTATAATATAGTCAGAGTCATCCTAAGGCGGTACAATGTGTTGTTGACTGGGAGTTAGCAAGAAGTTCTTATGCGGCCAAGGGTTGTTCAATTCATTCTCTTCAGCACCGAGAAGTTCTCTTGAAGGGCTTTTAAAGGCTGCTTGCAAAGAACCTTTCGGCGTTCATGTTCAAGCTCCAAATGGCTCATGGCACCAGCCTCTGCACCAGAGCGGCCGACCCTGCAGGTGGTCAGTGCCCCTGCTTCTTGCTTTGGAGATCCCAAGACTCGACCCTCACAGAAATACCCAAACCCAGCAACACCCACCCAGCACCTCGTGGGAGGCCCACTGCCTGGGAGGCCAAGCAAGAAGAGCCCGGCAACAAATGAGGTGGGGTTCCTGGAATTCCTTCCACTGACTCCCTTTGGCTCCAGATGATGGTTTCATGGTTGAATCTTCAGCGCTGGTGTAGAGTATGGACTCTCCGGTGCCAAACGTGAGAAAAAGTCCTGAGCCCTCCCCGTGCCTGGAGAGGAAAGCAGGGTCTTCTTGGCAGGATACTAAAATGGACCAAGGGTGTTGCCTCTAGCACGCATGCGCAAACTGGCTCATACACATTATCTATATATATATATATGCATTTTGTGTGTTTTGGGTTTGTTTGTTCAAAATAAGATGGCCGTGGAACAGCATGTAAAGGATTGTGGTTCGTCACGCCATGAGAAGTCCTGGCCTTGTGGAACGTCACGCACCTATCAATGCCTTGCCTGGGAGCCAATGCTCGCGCTTGCGCCCACTGCCAGTGAAGCCATGGCCAGTGCTGGCCGCATCATTGGCAGCACAGAGCTCAGGGCAAACGTTCTGGTGAAGTGGTGCCACTTTGATGCCTTGCTGTGGAGTTCTTTTCGTTGTGCAAGTCTTCAGAAATTGGCACTGTTGTTGTGGAATCACCCAAGCTGTGGAGCAAAATAGTGGTTTGGCCCAAGTCGGAGGGGCAAGCTGTGGTGCTGGTAAGTAAGGGTTGAGGAGGAGTTCCTCTGGGCAGTCTTCATTGTGTATCAACCAGGTGCAGTGTCAGAAATCAAAAACGGCAAATGTCAGACCTCAGAAAGCAACTGCATCAAGCGAGTTCAATAGTGTTAGAGGTCCGCCACAACTCCTACAATGTCCTGGGTGAAATGCTTTGAGCTGGATAGCAGCAGCCATGAGTTGCAGTCATGGGGGCATTGATTCTCTCTACGAGGTGTGTAACATGAAGATTGGTGAGAATCTGAAGGAGAGCAAGCTTTGCTCAAATCTCCTAAACTGCTCACTGATGAGCATCTCCCAGGTCGGAATGTCGACAGAATCTGACTTGCTCACCTTTCCACCACTGATGCAGCCTCAGCATCACCTTTCTCCTCCTCACACCCAGCTGCGTCCTTCGCCATTTGCCATTCCTGTTGCTGGTGAAACTGATCCGATGATGGCCTGCCACGCTGGGCCTGGGGGTCGGGCAGGGTCCACCTGGGATTGGACGTAGTTTTTCAGTAACATCCGAGCCGGAGGAGCATGACTCATACGCAGAGCATCTCGCCCACAGGCGATGAGATCGCTTCATGACGTGCAGCAGATTTAGACCATGAAGCAATGTGAGTTGAACGAGACAAAAACATCCTCACCTAGGACGCTCTGTCTTCGAGCCATTAGGAACATCATCGCACATCTCCAGGCTCCGTGTTGGGCGGCCTCTCGATTCACCTGAGAACAATGTCTGCTTTACTCACGATGTCCTTCTGCATGAGCTAGCATATTCCCGCATGCAATGAGTTTGCTTGCTTGAATGGTGGTTTTCTCTTATTTGCAGTGATTATGTAAGATGGACGCCCATCCAGAGGTGATGGTGAATTTACAAACCGCTGCAGAGTAGGGAACCCGCATCAATTCCTGTAGAGAATCCCCACCTACTCTACTCTCCCCTTCTCTTTTGTTCTTTGTTCATCTCTTCAGGACGTGCCGCCATCAACATCGCCTGCTGTACAGGGCCGCTCATGCGCCGAATTCTTCTTCCCGCACACGACCTACACAGGCAGTCGGCGAAGTAAAGTTCCCGTGGATCATAGCAATCCCTTCACTTCACATGCGAGTGTCTTAGCAATGGCGAACCCTGCAGAACTACCATTGAGGGAACTATAGACGAGAAAAGAAAGGTTGGAGAATCTGACACAAGACCGCATGGGAGCTTCATCATCATGCAAAGGGCGAAGATCTTCAAGTTGTGATGTTTGCCTGGGGGGGCTGAATATATCTCTGAGAGTTTGAACGATATTGTTCCACTGGAAAAGCGGCACCAAAGAAACAACGCCTCAACTTTATGAGGGAGGTTGGAATCAACGGCCGGCGGTTCGGTGAACTGCTGTGAACAACACAGAAGTCAAGCATTTTTCCAAAATACCCCAACCACACCAAACAAAGCACCAGCTTCCTCACAAATCTGGGAGGACCAACCAACGTGTCCGGCCGGTGAACAGGGAGGCTGGAGGACCCCAACCGGAAAACCTGTGAGGAAGCAAAATCTGCGTTGTGTCACGCCCAGCATCTGCCTATTGGGCGGAAGTGATAGAGGTGGAGATGGCTTGTTCCACTCTGGGCCTCAGAAGAAAGCAGGCTGGAGAAGCGTGTACACGCAAGGTGGTCACAAAGCTTTGGAGCAGAATGAGCTCTGCGTTCTTGCAACATTGCCACAAGAAGTGTCCGGCGTATAAAACAACTCTCGAAAGGCCTTGTTCAAACTGGCGGAATTCGCATGTTCGACAACTTAAATGACATGGAATTCGTATGTCCAACCACCTTGTTTTCCTCTCGTATCTTCGACCTCCAGGGTCATATGTCCACACTCATAACCCTCCAGGCTAGGGAGCGGGCAGCGGTGCCCAAGATTCGACGAGGGTTCGGCCTCGCAGATGCTCGGCAGATTTTACAGAATGCTTGAAGGTAGAAAAGAAAATGTGAGATTTTGATTTTGGGCATGAAGAGCCGGTATGCTCTTCGATTTGTTGTAAGCAGGATCCAGAGCCGCAAACGGATGTCCAGTCCTTTCTTTCTCAACATCCCAAAGCCTGTGCAAACTTGTGACTTTGACGTGTGCCATGTCCATGTTCTGCACATCAAACAGTGCTATTCTTGCACTCTTGATAGATCAATCTCACACCTCATAGGATATGCAAACTCATTGCTATCATCCGAGTTTATGGAATAGGTGATTCTCATCATGACCAACACTGGTGAAAGAAACAGCTCGGCCGTTGCTGCAATTCTGGGGTGCCCCACGGGCGGCTGGGTGTGTGCGTGGGGTGCCGGTGCCGCATGGCCGCACCGGAGCTCTGACTGAGCGGAGCAGCTCAGTGGGGGGAAACGCGGGACACTAGTCGTTTCAGAATAAAGCAATTTGCTGATTGCTGTTCATAAAAACGAAGCGTGGCACTGCCGGTGGATACTTTCAGATCAGAATAGGGTTGGTTCAAAACTTCAACTTGAAAGTGATTGCAAAACCTCCAAAACCCTTCTGAGTCACACCGCTTTTTGCCCTGGTAAGTTGGGTATCATCCAAATATGTGAACATGCATCGCGGTCCCAACCGCGAAGGACAGCCCCAAATATACATATATATATATATATATGATTCTACACAAAATTCGACACATGCATTGGTTAGGGCGATTTCGCCCGAAATACTAGGACAGGATGGACATGAGTCCATGTTTCTGAAATAAATCTTGCACGTTGAGCTAAGTTGCACTGTTCCGGGTGCTTTATTGGAGGCAAGGCAATCAGGACCATATTAAAGTATTGTGATTTACATGCTACAGCCTTGGCAATTATATGCAATTATTGTGTTCAAGATATGGAAGAACTCATCATGGGTCTGTGCAAGGAAATTACTGGGGTGGGAATGAAAAAACCTGGAGGCCCGGAGGCATACAAACCTGAGACTACTTGCAAGCTCAAACATGAGGCATGGCGCAATTGTCATGGATCTAAATGTCTGACAATCCTTGGATGTCTCGTGATGGTCCCCTCGGTTAGGTTAAGGACATTTCGGGAGTCTCAAAGTACCACGGAAATGCACTAAACGAATCTAAAACAAAAGTGATGATGAGCATTTGTCCGTACACTGGGTCCAGGTTCCTTCATAGGTGTCGATAACCTGCTGGCTTGGATAAGACAAATTGGATTCAAACAGTCCAGATTGTGGATATCTAGAATCTAAAAATTAAGTCCGACCGGCCCCCATGTGACCAATTTCGTCCCTGACAGGCCCGACAACAACAAGGCCGCCTCTCCCGACGTGTTACTGAGCGCCCTCGATAGCCAGTGTTGGTCCAGCCTGCAGGGTTTGAAAGCCTGGACCTAACATCACTTGTTCATCCCATCCCCCAAGTGAAACTGAAGCCTGGAGCCCTGCCCTCGTGAAATTCAGAGACAATGCAACTTGGAGTCGCAAAATCCAGAAAATGTTTGGCTTATAAGAAGTCTTTGTCAGTGAGGACTGAACAATCAGTCCTGATCCAACTTGGAAGGCACCATTCTCGCGAGGGACAGACAGGAGAGGTTATGCTATATAGTTTATACAAGGTGGGATGTTCAACTACAGTGATTTCAGACACCTACATTAGGCAACACATCCAAAATTACGTCCCTACCATACCCGTCGCTGCCTCGTAGGAAGGTGTGGGGGCTGCCAGCCCCGCCACGGATGCCTGGGATGAAACCTGCAGCACTGCGCACAGCAGCTATTCAATGGAGTGCGTTACGGAATAATGAGGAGGAGGAACAGAAGAAGAAGACGACGAAGAAGAAGAAGAAGAACATGTAAAGGGAATAGAATCGAATAGAACGATGTGTGTTCGGGCCTGCAGCCTGTTGCCGTGGGTTGCTGCCCGTCCTCACAGAGTGTCGAACGCTTGCTGCGTGGGTTGCCACAAAGTCCATGTGTGGTGGGGCACATGGAGGGTTGGGTCTGAAAGGGGTTACCAGTAATCGTGTGAAAGAGATCAGTGCTTCCTGTCTTTTGGGCTTGAAGCAGGTCAACTACCAAGGGCTGGAAAGGCAGCAAACGAGAATATCACTTTTGCAACCAATGTGATTCTTCATAGCCAAACTCAACCCCTCTCCGGTCGTTGAGTCTATACGGCCTTTCCATGGCTTTCCAACTTCCAGTCAATAGTTGCAAAACTTCTGCAATCCCTTCTACGTCGCACATTGGAGCTAGAAATATTCCGCTGGGGTCAGCACTACTAACACACCAAACGACCAAAATCCTGGGAGAGATAGTTGTGATTCCCAAGAAAGAAAGAAAGAAAGAAAGAATCTCAGAAAACTGAAGATATAAAGGCTTCAAAGCAAAAAGGAAACGAAAAAAAGGAGGATAAAGAATTAAAGTGATTCCAAATCGTGCCCTCTCGCTTGCTGCTTTGGCCCTGGCGTGGCGCTGGTGGAGGCTCGGGTACTTGAGACCGAGGTGTCGGCTTGGGAATCCAAAGTGTACCTCATCTCAGCACACGTGTCCTCTTGCGCACATGTTATGAGCCCACTCATGGTGCAAAGGATAGTCAAGAATCAAGAAGGCAGATGGCTGCTTGGTTTCGAGGCATAAAAGAGTCTTGAAGTAGAAAGCTTGCAAATCCCTTGTTTTGCAAGGGAAACTAAAGGACGAATGGCCCGGAAGCGTGGAAACACGAGCGCGCCAGTATTTAGGTGCACTGCATATCATACAAATGTATGTGAAGAGCCCCATTGAAGGACTTCCTATGATATACAGTGAATGGCATAGGTAAACCGGGCTTTAGCATACATAACAATGCAGCTATATTTATATACAGTATATATAAGTCCCAAATGTATTGATGCAAATGTGTTACGCAAAAGACTTCTACAGAAGAACCCTTCGCAACGCTCCCGGAAAAAGGAAAATGGTTGAGGAGTGCAACGATTGTTGACACCCACCAGGGATTCTTGTCGATTCTCCCTGAACTCCTACAGCTTTTGCCCACATGGTTTCACTGTTGCTTCATCATCTTGTGGGAGCTGGATATCTTACCTGGAATTCAGAACATGCGGGGCAAAGGCTACCTGAAGTTGGAGTCTGGAGGCCAAACTCTTTGAAAGAGCCAGTAATGGGTTGTGCAGCCATTGCCCAGAATCTGCTTAGCTGGAGTCAACACCCAGACTGCCCTCACCCTCAGCGCACTCTGTAAACTCATCCATGGACCACTCGTTGCTTCCATCCGACAAAGCCTCCCACCAGGGTGCCTCGGCCCGCAAATCTCGGCTCGCGCGAAGCACGGTGTAGCCATGAAGACAGTCTTCAATCACATCATACGATAGTTCGCTGCTCCTTTACCACACAGTTGGCCGAAAAGATTGCCCGAATTCCCATAGCCCCAGAGAAATATGCCCACTTTGAGCCAGCCCAATTATTTCGGCTCGTTACTGTAATCTTTTCCGAACATTCGGACTTCGCGCATCCAAGTGGTCGTCCAAATGCCAAACTATTCTGATTGGTAAGCAAGGGTCGTTTGGAGGCTTCAGATGGTGCAAGAACTTGTACCAATGAGACCACTCCGTCCAAGCTGCTTCGAACATACGAAGCAAGCGGACTTGGACAAAGAGTGAAAAGTATATATATATATACATATGTATAGCTGGACTGAAGCGCCAAGCACCGGGCCGAGGCAGTACGTATGCTGGAACCTACATCATCGGCTGCGTCCACCATGTTCGGACCTGCTTTCTTCTTCAGAAGCGGACTGACGAGTCTGGCCTCTGGTTCATCTCACGTGCAAACCAGCCACCGCACACACTATTTTATGGCAAAAGTCTCAAATGCAATAGGTCAAATATCTCCAGATGATACCTTGAGGTCGGGTTTATTAATCAAAACAAGGTTCATCAATGAGTTTTCTGCGTAGGTTTCAAGCATGCCTCATGGTTCCAAGCTGTTACACAATCGTCCAATGGTGGCCCTGCTACTGAAGATCTTTGTCTCCATCATAATGTTATACGTGGCTCCTCTTCCAAGAAGCCTGGCAGTATAGAAGAAGTACCTCGCGTTTTGTAGGACGGATCCTCCGGGTGCCTCGCAAGCCACTGCCCCACCTCTTTTCCGAACACTCAAATCCCATTTCACTGACGCTTGTCTTTGTGGGTCACTTTCAATCATCCTTTTGGTCCTTTTGCCCAGTGGTCCTTTGACCAGAACCCAACACCAAGCAGCGGCCTGGGAGGGGTGGGAGGAGCCTCAAAGGTGGAAAGCGTCGCCTCAGCCGGTGGGTCGCACCCCAGTCAGTACCCCCAATTCTCTACGAAGAACTTCGACCAAAGACCAACTGGGAACCTCCAAACACTCCCAACATCTTCTTCTTGGATTCAAAAGGAAAAATGTCCGGACCCCATGTTTCAGTAAAAACCTGGGGCCGCCACGAACGTGGCAGCTCTGCGACATCTTCAAGCACCTGGCTGGTTGACTCGGAAAAAGGCCTCCAGACCAGCGTGTCAAATGTGTTTTTGACCGATGTTGCAGGAACCAGGTGTGGTCAATACTTAGCACGGGGTGTTTCCTGTCTTTCTACGTCTACGCAAAGGAATACAACCCACATAGACAGCAAATTGGGTGGATCATAAACAACGGCCAATATGAAACATGGGCCTGGCATTTGGTCAAGAATGAACTAAGAAGCTTAAAACATACACAAAAGAATAGGAGCAAAATCCGTGGACCATCTTCAGGCTACGGACCGTTGTAATTATATTGTCCAATCATAGCATCTTTCAGGAAAAGAGTACAAAAGGATTGAGGACACCAACTACTTTGAAGGGTTTGCTAAGCTAGATCTCAATTAGTGCAGTGCTGTTCGACCTACACTGCTAAATAGCGCTGTGCAAGCATTCTGTACCACAATATGTATTCTATGTAGGGTCTAACCTTGATTGGAAAACATGGGAATCTCCTTTGCGGACCTCGAAAGGGGCAGAAAGCCTACCAACACTGCGCTATCCCACTTTGGATCAAAACAGAACACTCGCGCGCCTAACATGCGGAGCATGCGCAGTGGCCTGGCCTCGCTCACGGATTCCAAGACCTGGTCTTGGGCTCTTCGTGCACAAGGCGGCCCGAACTCAGGAGTGGTCATGAGTCATGGATGATGCTTGAAGTAACCCGTCTTTTTGTGACCCCCAAAAAAAGAAAGAGAGCAAGACAATGCAAATGTCTAGAGTCTAGATGACCTTCAAAAGCAGCACAGTGTTGCAGGCCGTACTCCCAGTGTTGGTGGAACTGTCACTGCCCAAGAAGTGACCTAATCAACTCCGTTGAGGAACTTCATCATAAGATTTAAAAACTGCTTTCCTTCTCAGAGATTCTGCTGAGCCTGGTCTTCGGATTCTATCCCCAATGGTACAGCAGTAGATAGCAGTAGTAAGTACAGGATATTCCTCCCTAGCCTGAAAACACAAGCAGTACATCAGTGCGGTGCTGTAGGATGTACTGCATCCAAAGCCCTTGTTTGCCACTCATAAACAAGGAGAAGGGCCCGTTCTCTTTGGAAATACATTAAATGCAATGGCTCGGTTTCCTTGGAAGTGGCGGGTCATTCTGACTCAAGGGCGTTCCTGTCAGTTTGTGTCCAAGCGTTCCAGCTGGAGTTCAAGTTCCAGTCAGGTTTGACAGTTTGACCATCTTTGTTTCTCCAAAACCGCCCGGAGCGCATCGGCACCTCCGCCATGCGGGGGGCAGGCGTCCCAACACCCCAGAGTGACTAGCTGGTCCCACAGGGGCCTACAGGGACTGCGAGCCTGCAGGGGACAAGGATCTGTGACAGAACTCCAGCAGGGCACACTCCAGGCCCCATGCCGCCTATACCCCAAGGTGAAGTGAACTGATCAGCTGTCTCGTCTTGACCCAAACCACTGCACCCAAAAAAAATATGGTTCCCCTCAGGATCATTTCGAGGTATATAAGCACGGGCTGCAACTGAGTGAAGCACAGGTTCGGTTGCTCCAACCATATCGACGGCTCGCAACACAGTGAGGATGTTTTCGACTCTTGGAAGGCAGGTCAAAAACCTAAAAGAAAGGAGCTGGTTTGGTGAAGTAGTCACGACGAAAGTTGCACTTATAAAATCAGTCTTGGCCACCTCTGGCAGGTTCACCCTGATGAAATACAAATTCCTCCTAGGTGTGGGACCTTACCAAGTCATTGCTACAATGAACCACAGGAGAAAATTCTTGACTCTGTAACTGGCGTCTCAAGAACCTCGTTGCCTTCTGTCTTCAGAAACTCAATTCTTTCCAACTCACTGGGCAGTTAAAGCGTTTCTGCCAAGCTTGGATCAACGTAACCACAAGGCCACGAAGCTGCTCCACTTTTTCTGAGACGAATGAAGTCTGCGGGGCCCTGCCATTGCAGGAGATCCCAGTTGCGACATTTTGTTTGCGGAGTACGTGATTCCTGGTCCCATGAGATCCTGTTCCATGTCTGGAGTTTGCTTGAGAATCACCGACTCCCTAGATTCCTTGAGTGTTCTTTCGAAATCTCCGTCTGCCATTGGGCAAAAGGCTCACATTATTAAGTGCCAGGTCTTGTCCGACCAGTCTTTGGCAGACCACTGGCGCATTCAACCCGCTCCAGTCTGACTCGGAAGCTGAGGAGGCCTGTCCAAAGAAAGAGAATGACATCTGGGAATGGCGAACCAAACTTGGGTTTGAAACGCCGCTCACTTGTTCCCTCTTTGACAAAGGTAAAATGGGCTGCAACAGAAGTGTTCATAATCTCTGGTTGGAGACTTGGCGACCTTTTTTGTCACTCACGGTCACACAATCTTGTATGGAAGCTTAAATGACAGATGGTCACTTTGGAGTTTCATCCAGTCAAAAACGGAGCCACCCCCTCTTCACCTTGCGCTCCTGCCTAAGCCTCTCGCTCCTCTTCCGCCAAGTGGGCATGCTGGCAGCCAACCCGCCCACAAAAGCCCGCAGTGTAGATCAGGAGTACGACGCCAGCTAGCGATCCGCTGACGATGTAGGACGTAGTGGGGTGAACTTGCTCCTGGCTCAAAAGCTGTTGGAGATTTCACTGGGAGTGGGCTTGAGTCCATCATGATCATCTGCTACTTTGGGAGCAACCAAACACCAAGAAAAGAACATTTGACTTGATGTCCATTTCGTCAGGAACTTGCTAGTGTCTTGCAGCTTGGAAACCAGCCTCTTGGCACATCTTGCAAAGATGCAACCTCTTCTAACTCTTCCCCATAGTGCTCGGGAGAAGATAGCCAAAAACAAGCCATCGGAAATCTGACTATCCAATGCCTACGCACCAGAATACACTTTGAAGAATTAAACAATTCCTGGCCGCCTAACTCCCACAAATCCTCCACCCTGGCCCAAATCTTGACTGCCAAGCATCAAAAAGCAAAGTAGCTAAGAAGCTGGATAATGCCGCTGCCAAGGATTGAGCTTGGCCAATGCGGATCTGCATGTTCCTGTGCTGCTGTTGAAACAACACACAAGCTGCTTGGCTGTTTGATTGTCAATGTAATGGTTCCCCGTAAAATCTTGACAACAGAGTCTCTGAAGGGGTGAGGAAAATCCATGTGTATTGAAACCTCCACCTTCATTAACACTTTGGCTGCGGTATGGAAATTGGAAGTTGTGGTAGAAGTACACCGAGAGTAGAGGGATCTCTTCAGGAGTTGCTAGGTGCAACACAGATCTCTGTGTTGAACAAACGATAATTAGGCCTAAAGATTTTAAAGGGAAGCCGGGAAGCCTTTGAAAACAACCTGGAGTTCTTCCAGCGACGGGTTCCTAGCATGGTCATCAGTTCTCAGCATGGGGTCATCGATTTGTGTGGGGAGCACCCTATGAATGATCAAAGCTTTTGCCAATGAGGCTTTACAAGGCTCATAAACAGGAGATCGTCGTCCATGGAGTAAAAATGACAGAGCTCAGCAGCCCATTTAGAGGCTAAGCAATAAGAGCTGCTCATCATCACTTGCCCACAGATCGCCAAGGGTAGCATCGAGCTAATCATCATCATGTTGAGGCCGATCCATATAAGAAGGACCCAACAAAGGTTGTAGGGAGGGAATGCGATCCTGCGGCAAACGGGACGCTTATTGGACGGTTCTTACGGTTTGAAAAGACTTGGATAATGCGCTTCCATCAGCAATGCTATCTAACTGCCAGCTATGTATGTCACTTCTAGAGTGAAAATCTAGTTTGGGAGGTCTTTTGTGAATTGGACCAAGACGATGCCAGCTGGAGCATCAAGTCATGTTCTGTTGCAGCTGCAAATGAGAACCTGAATCGCGATCCAGCTAAAAATAGATCGCCAGCATGGACCCCTAAATATAGCATTTGGGATAAGAAAAGTCTCAACTTGTAGTATGCTGTCGCTCGGTCTCTTGCACAAGTGCAAACCCGATCTCAGATGTAAAACAAGTAGGGCTAGACATGCAACGTGATGAGTGCAAACAGGGTTGCCATCAGGGCCTGGCTCCAGGGTTCCAACTTGTTACTAGTAGCGAACATTGCTCCTAGTAGTAAGGCCAGGAGCTTCTAGTAGCGTCCTAGTAGCGATGCCAGGAGCCCCTAGTAGCTTCTTGGCTCAAATCAGAGTCTGAGTTCAGAGTTTGAGGGTTCCCAGAGTTCCAGGTGAAAAGTTGCAGTCTGGATCTGCAGGAAGCAAGACTCTGCTCTCTGCGGAATAGTTTTTATTTCCCAAACAGCCGAATGGATATATTTTCCAAAGAAGCAGTTTGGTTGCATTCCAGGTAGAGCATAATAACCTGCTGGTGGTAGTTATTCTTCGAAGTTGCTCTGCTTCTTGCTGGAAGCTGGACTGTGAAAGGAGAAACTTCAAAGCACTCGAAGCAGACAAAATCCCCAAAGGACCCTCTCATTTAGACTGAACCTATAGCTTTCTACTCTAACCTTGGGTTGTGGCTGCAGAGCCTAAACATCATCCGTTCCACTTCTTTGGACAACGTGAAAGATATTTCTTTGTTCCAACCTCGCTTGGTGAGTGATTAAGTCTTTCCTACAGAAGACCCATCAACAGCACAGCCCGGTTTCAAACCCCTGCCAACACCACCCCAGATTGACATCTCCTGGCCCAACATCTGGCTACCGCATCCAAGCATGGGACCTCTGAACCTTGCAAAATATCCGAGCAGGTGCTGTCTTGGAAGCCAAGGTGGGTTGGCAGGCCCTCAAAAGTGGTCGTTAAAGTTCGGGATTGGATGTTTTGAGGCTTGATGGAAGGGATCCAAATAGTGCGACCCACCGTTGCTTTTCTCATGCGATACAGAGTCCAAAACCATGTTTGGACCCGCCCATAAGGGGTCATGACAGGTTGTCTAGGCCTTTCCCTTTGAGGAAGTCCACAGATTGGTCACTTTCGGTGACCCTAGGGTCTTTGGAAGTGATCAATGGCCACGCACATGTTCTGGAGATGGACTCATAGATAAAATCTCAAGGGTTGCCATGAGGTGTCTGTAACTTCTGTCAAAAGACTTTCATTATATGTGAACTCTGATGATGTTCCATTATTGTGGCCACTGATCAAGGGCTCACTCTGTCTGTCTGAAAGCACGGGTCAGCCCAACAAACCCCCCCCTCTAGAACTACAAATATACTAAAGACATCTGAAGACTATGTAGTGTTGGTCAGGTCGCCGACCTGAGTCCCCAGGTCGAGAGTGAGGGTCTTCGGCAAAGGCACTTAAAGCCGCCACTTGCATCACAATTGCCTGAGCCGATCGTCTGAATCGATGTGTGGGTCGGGCGGTCGGAGTGGATGTTTTCTTGAGAGCCGCAAGAAAAGGTTCAAACAAGGCCAAGCCCCAAAGCTTCCAGGAATTGAAGTCGATACGGGACCATGTTCTTGTCCCCTCAATCACCATTTCTTTTCAAGTGCACATCAAACAATAGCAAACAGGCACCTTTCTCGCGTGAAGTGGCCCCCCGCATGTGTGGCTACCAAGTTACTGCCAAGAAATCGCCACCTGTTTGCCCCAAAGCGCACATAGTGGCCGAGCTCACGCCATAGTACCTCAGGTTGGGTGATAGATCTGAAGCTAGATGATAAACCGTGGTACCCACTTCATTGGCTGGATGCATTCTGGGTCTGAATCATGCTGGGCTGGGTGGGGAATCTCGCTCTGACCGTGAACGGCCCATGAACCCTTTAAATTGCTGAGCCTGGGCGCCTGGGCGCCTGGAAAACCGAGACTGAGACGACAGAGACTCCGAAAATATCCAAACCATGTGTACGCAGGTTAGGCCTTACTACCCAGCAAGGCCAAGCTGGGAGAGACACAACCAGACCCCAAAAAGAAACCAACGGCTTGTGAATCATGACACTGCGGAAACCCTGCAAAAGCAAAGGTAAAGCACATATGTTGAACCCAAACAAAGGCCTGATTCTGCAATTTTCACGGATATGATGTGTCATGCAAAAGCCTTGTGGCTTCTACATGTGTAGCAAGAGATCTCTTGACAGCTTGAGGCTTGAAAGGTTTGACATTAAAGGGATCGAGAGCACATGTGGAGCACGGTAGAGGACCACATCTGAAGTGCACTTGGAGACCATACAGAACGGATTGGATGCCCCATGGTTGAAAGGAATCATACGACATCTACTGGAGACAACTACTGGCCCATACCGGCCCTATGTCTTGGATGTGAGATGTCAAAACCGCCTGGGAGTTCACATGGAACCTAACCTGCATGCACCTTAGTTGCTACTGCTCGTTAGTCCTAGAATATGTGGGTGCACATTTTCCATGTTATTATTTCCCACTTAAACCGAGAGCAAGTTTAGAAAGCTCAGAAGTGGTGACCACCATGCTTTCTCACCCTCGATCGGCCTCATTTCCCCAAACATCCTCGTCGAAGGTACTCTCTCAAGAGGATGGCAAAAGAGCCAAACTCATTGGAGTAGCAATAACTGTTGCACACTACACAAAAAGAGATCAGCAGCATTGGAATCCTCAAATCCGCGGAAAGTTTGCCTTGAGGGACCTTAGGCCAGTTGCTGCCAAAGCAAAGGCTGCCCAAAACATCCCAAAACTACAAAGTTGTTCCAGCTGCAGTGGTTTGCCCATTCTCTAAAAGACTCTAAAAGACTCTAAAGGACTCTAAACTCTGAACCATGATGCCAGCCAATGTGGGAGTTCTTCAAACAACGACTTGCTCACGTGCTTACTTTGTTCACATCCCACCAGAGCTGACCAAATCTGGGCAAGAGATCTGGACCAAGCTCCATTGGTGAACAAGAATCAAACAAAAAGCTTACCATAATTTATCTGTGCAGTCCTCATTCTCCAGTTTCTTTGGAGTATCCTTTTGGGAAAGCTGGGGGGACAACATCTATCAGGTTCTGGCGGCCGGTAGCGGAACGTCCTCAATGGGCTCCGGCTCCTCTGGCACTTCGTCCATCTTCTGATCGAACTCACCCACACGAGTCACGATGCGTGGGCCCAAGCTACTGTTCACCATGAAGTGGTGCCTTAGCCAAGGCAGCTTCCTGCAATTGTATGGACAGCATACTCGCAGTAGGATACTATCTATACCTGAGGAAACTAGAGGCGGGGATTATATATATATATATATAGAGAGAGAGAGAGATTTGTTATCTTTCAGAAGAGATGCTCAAAGTTTGCCCCAGTCTCTGCAAGGGATGTCAATTGCGATCTCATGGTCCCAGCTGTCATCCCTGTGCGGCCTGTTCGTGCGGAAAGCCCGGTCTGCCCTGAGCCAAGGGTTTTGTGCGTGCGTTGTGTGCCAGCCGTGTGGCTGCTTCCCACGGTCAACCGTGTCGCGCGAGACGTGCGTGAGACTCTCGCGGAGCGACGGCTAACCCTGCTGTCACGGCCACTGACCCCACTCTTGCGAGATTTGCCGCTGCCCTGGCTCTGTCGGTTTTGCAGGTCCGCCGCCATGGACTGGCGACGTTCCGACCGTTCAGGCAGGATGATGGAAAGGATCCTCTTTCGGCCCTTATGAATCCGGAACCTCAGCACAAACAAGGAGGTTGGAAACAAAGGTAGTTCAGATCCCGTTGTTGAGATAGTCTGGAGGGCTTGGGGTTATAAACTCATCTGGTTGTGTGGCTTCAAACTGTTCACCTTCCACGAGAGCATTCTACTTCATTTATGTTGTTTTTGTAAGACCGGAGCAAAGCCATCAAACGCAACATAGTGGTTGGCTCTCTACAAAAAGTCTACGTAAAAAGACACCTATGGTTCCCTCCAACTACATGCCCTGATTACTGATCGAGAAAAAATAAAGAACCTGACCTGAGTTGGCCCCATATTGTTTTTTTTTGCCTTGAGGCATCATTGAATCATGCCAGAGGTTGGCATTGGCGAGAGGTCTTCTTCACAAAGACCTGACTAGCAACTGAATAGCAGCTGGGCCACTGATTCATGTCAGAAGTTGGAGTTAGGACCTCCTCATCCTCATTGGGCTCGAGGTCACCCTCTTGAACCTCCTCATATTTCAGTCCTTCTTTTTCACCGGGCGTCTCCTCCTGGAAAACGCCAACATCTGCAGGTCAAAAGAACATGATTCTCCTCGAAACCCCACTCAAGGTCCGTAGTCTATTGCTGCCTGCTGCTGGTAGTTGCCTATTCTGAAACACTGAAACACCATTTGGTTGCAAGCGTTGAAATCACACGATACAAACAAGTGGCAGCCAGGTCTGTGACTGAAAAACAACATCTTATTGAAAAACATTCTTGCCTTTGCCTCGGAAAAACAGTTGCTCAATGCAAGCATTGAAGCTGTCCACCCATTTGACTCAACATAGGCTCAACTTTTTGGTCACACACCTATATACTCCCACGGGGCGCAGCTTCAACCAGCTTGTGCACCAGCTGCATGTAATGCAGTTTTCTTCAATTCCCCAACAGCCATATCAAGGGAAGAAAATGCAGGGGGGAAACATGTTCAAGGAAATGGTGTCTTCCAGCCCTGCTACCATCAAACAACATCTCCTCAAATGTTCCATAGTCTCCTAGTGGGGCGAACGAAAAAGTACAAGAACAACTCTAAGAGCCTTCAACAGCCCTAGCCGCCTGAAATGGCTCTGTCTCACAACGCACTTTGGTTGATCCAGTTTCGTGGATTCAGTCATCTGTGCAAACAATCTCTAGATTCGTTGTCCTTCCAAAACCAGGTCCATCAGAAGCGCTGCATTCGCACTTGCTTTATGAAATAGCTCTGGAAACACCAACATCATTGGAGGCCATTGCTATTAGGTTGGTTGCCAATTGCTATTAGCTTGGAGGCCATCGCTCTTAGTATACAAAGAAAATACAAAGACATTTAGTTTACGCAGACTCCCCCAAGCACCGTTCCCGCCCGCCTTCGGGATGGCTGGAGCCTGGAAGAGTGGTCGGTGTGGTCAGGATCTGCTAGATCATTCATCCATCGAGGTGGCCCTCAAGTAAAGGTTTTCATCATGTTCTCATACCAACATGTTGAGTACAAACCTTCTGTTGTTGTTTTAAGTCTAATAATAATAACAGGCTGAATACACGAGTGTATACCAGATTTGTGAGGTCGCACATACCTTAAAGGAGGCATGGATCTATGCTTGGAGGGGTCATGACACGTGGAAAGAGCATAGTGTTGTTTCACAGTATTAGTTGCCATGGTGCATTGGTCAGTTTGGGTTCCCGAAACGCCTAAGTCATGGGGAAAGTCGCAAGCCTGGTTCAAACATGACTACAATGCTACCGGGCAGAAGAGTGTTGCTAAGGTGGCACAGAGCTGACTTGGTTCCTCTAAGAACTATATGAGTTCCAAGGAAGGAATGAGCACGCATTGATTTAGCTGTCAAGAAACTCTAAAGCCTGACCAGGTTGACAAGGAGGAAACACATGGAAACGGAAGGGGAGTATGCTGCGGTACTTGCTTCATACCTCTTCACCTACTTGTCTATCAAAGCTAATTCCGGCACCTGTACATGTTTGGAAATGTGCAACACAAGGACTGTGAGGTTTTGCGTTTATTTGTTCATTTCAAAGCAGGGCACCCAAATCCCATTGCTAGCAAAATAGATAGCACACCCAAATGTGTACCATTTAGACTCACCAAGAAAGCAACGCCACAATCTGCAAAGTCCCACATCCACCAGAGGACGGATTTTTCATGAAGCATGCTCGGGTTGGTCATCCTTCTTACTAGTGTCTATTGGAAGTACCTCTTGCTGATTCCGATCACAAAAAAGGACAAGAAAGTCCGTGTCACCTTGTTACCCTGCGACATGTTCTCGTTTCTCCTTCAGGCTTTGCAGCAGAATTTAACTACACACATAATAGGAAGCCGGATTCTTTAGTGCGTCGATGCTGTATTGGTCCAACAAGGGCATAACATCTATCCGATTGAAACACATGTTGACATGAGATGTTCATACTTCCTTGCTCGGGGTTGCATCGCTTCATGTATTGTAACTATTACAAAATTAAAAAATATATATATCCCTCGCGCTCTTTTCCGCAGTCACAAGAACTCCCACCCCTGAGTTTCAGGGTCAAGGCAAGCGCTGCCATCTTTCGAAGTCGAAGGGCGTACTGCCAGCACTGAACATCGTCTTGAACGAAGAAGTCATCTAAACCAGTAGTGCCAGCAGTATAGCCATTGGGAGGCGGGTCACTAAAGTCATAGAAAGCATCCCTCGCGCTCTTTTCCGCAGTCACAAGAACTCCCACCCCTCCTGAGTTTCAGGGTCAAGGCAAGCGCTGCCATCTTTCGAAGTCGAAGGGCGTACTGCCAGCACTGAACATTGAACATCGTCTTGAACGAAGAAGTCATCTAAACCAGCAGTATAGCCATTCCACCCCTTTCATCCTGCTTCGCAAAACCGTTTGTAATCTTGAGGGAAGAGATCTTCCAACACCAAAGGCAAACAACTGCTTAATGAACTGATCTTTTGCCTAGCTACCGGGCTCAAGTTGAATAAAAACAGCTGCGCAGCAACTTCCTGAATATAGTGTTCAAGAGTCTTAAATCTATTCCAACGTCCTTTCCATTGAATCTGACTAATGTTGCCGCACTGCAAATATTCATGGGTAGCTCCTGAGCCACGGAGCGTTCCAGGTGTAGCTCCTCCTTCCGCCTGGCGTCGGGGGATCTGCAAGCGATCCATAATACTGTTCCACTGCCGCCTGTACGCAGCGGTTGATGCTGGGAACAATTTTGTGTCCAATGCTTGAAGGCCAAACACGCACCAAGCAAGAAAACTCAAAGAATCATCATCGACTCTAACGTGTTGTTTTCGAGCGAAGCGTGAGGTTTTAGGGTTTTTGACAAAAATGTACAACGAACGTGTCTCCAGCATGGAATCAGAGGGGAAGATCAAGTCCCTCCGCGTCAGTTGAAGAAATTCGTTGGGGTGCAACATTCCGCCAAACCCGAGTGCGGTGATCGCAGCAAACGACCACCACCCCCACAGCAGGGACAAACAAAGTACTGCGCGCAAAACAGGAGCTGAAAGAACGGCCCGGCATTGGCCAGGCTCCTCTAGTTGCCACTTCTTGTCAACAGCCCAAGCGCCACTTAGACATGATCTAAACTCTGGACGCAACTGTTGCACTGCTGTAATGGCGTAAAGCCAATATCGTGGAGCTCCCTGCTTGAACAATGCAAGCCCATAGCCCTTAAGACCCAAGTTTGCAAGCTCAGCAGTACTTAGAATTTCGTCCAGCGTCACATGGGCTTCAGTAGAACACCAAAGCCCGAAGGCCTCCAAGCATTTCTGCATTCGAACAGAGGTCGCCTGTGCAAACCCGCCCATCATATTCAAATCCCCTCTGGGCTTATAGCTGGAAAACTGTTTAGGCCCAGGATTCTGTTCGATGTCTCCTGCCATCAGTAGGAGGAGGCGATACCACCTCCCAACAGGCCGAATCCATCCTGCTGATGTCAACATGATGTCAAAAGGTGCTGCGTCGCCGTCAAACAATGCTTTCAACCAAACAGGGACAGGTCGACTCGGAGGAGGAACCGGGCCATCCCTTGACGGCCCGTCGGCCCGATTCCATGCAGACCTGCAACGCAATGTGCCCGGATACAAACCGCTCCCAATCAGATAGGGAAGTGTGCTTCTCAAAATCCTGTTCGATGCTTTGCTACTGCTGCGGCCCTTGGCCACTGCTCCCATCGTGACCCTGCTATCTAACAATGCAACAAGACGACTGTTGTAGCAAACTTTTGAAATTGATTTGATCCAACTCTTGTAAGTTCTGCATTCCAAACAATTGATGTGACCAGAACGTCGGAATTTGTATCGAAACAACTCCTTGTAAGGAAGACACTCACATAGGTCCTCGACCCACTCTGGGTCGTCATGCCAAGCCCTGTCCCACCGCGCGCCTAAGTCACAAGAATCTTCTGCAGCATCTGCCACACGGTGCTCCAGCTTCCGCTTCGTCGAAGATCGGTGCTCTGCTGAACTCCCAGCTGCCATCACCTGACAAAGTGGGAGGGGGTAACTTGCAGAATACGCACTGACTGCTTCTCCTGGGGTCGGAAGCTTTCCGTACACCGTCTTGCAATTTGGCTTGCAGCGACAAAGGAAAACAGGGATTGATGCTTTAGTGAACGAACCCTCAATGGTGAAGTGCCTCCCCTTATAGTTGCAAGAACATTTACCACTGAGAGGGACATACCAATGCTTGTTGCGCAGCCATTGACTGGCTTTTTGAAAAGCAGATCCAAAAGAACAGAAGCAGAACCGGGTAATGGTGCAGCCCAAGCCGAGCAATCTCTGAAAGGCAGCTAACCGGAACATCACTGACGACCCTGGTTGCTCACAAGACACGTAAGCCCCTGCTTGAAGAGCCAGTGTCAGCAGAAACGCTGTTCGAACTGCTAACAGAGTTTGCTCCTTAGTCAAGGCATCGTCAAGATCAAACCCAGCTGGCTCAGATTTGGATCTGAGCCTAGGCCTTCTCAATGTGCCAAAGGACCAGCACGTGGGTGCTGCATGCCATTCACCTATTGCTCCATTGTAAGCTAAAGTTGCAAGATCACGAAACGTCTGATTATTGGAAGGATCACCGTAACCTCTACCTTTTGCTGTTCGCTCAATGCCAGGATGCACTCGAAGGCCACATTGTCTGTGACAACTGCTCCAGTTCCCCTGCCCCGAAAACAATTCAATGCAATCGAAAACCTTTGTTCTATCTTTCAGTGTATGATTGACCTTCCACTGTTCGCGAGGCGGACTAGCAACAAGAGGTGCATCATCTGGTTGACCGAATTGTTCCTCATGTTCCAAACCTAGTTCACGCAAAGCTAACCCTGGGCCCTCTTGTAGTCGAGTATAGTACCCTCTCTGCTCCGAGTGCCTCCACAGCTCGTCGGTGGCTGCAGCAGAAAGCATCGTCCGACAGATCCCAGCGCCGTATGGCGAAGCATCCATCATGAAGAGCTGTGGATGAGCTTGCGTTCGCATGTTGGTTTGTGTTGCGGGTGCAAGAAGACATAAAGCCATCAACTCGTTCTTTGTAGCTCGAGATAACTTGAAAAGTTCATCTTGCTTCAAACCATCGCCCTCCGTGTACACAGCATCTAACGCTGCGAACACCGGCCGCCTAAAAAGGAGAATATGAATCCAACAACCCAACAGCCCCTGTAGTAGTTGTTTGCTAGCGAACCCTTTGTGAACTACAATGGTCTTGGGGCTGAAACACGGCCGCGACAACCATCGATCTCGGCTCCCAGGACTACGGCGTGCGGTTCCCGTCGTTGTCGTTTCCCAGGGTGTGCTGTGAGACCAACGTCAACGTAAGCCTGGTTTGCAGCCTCGAAAACCTGTTCGTCGCGATTGCAATGCAGGCTCCAATCCCCACTCGTCTTGATCTTCTGCAGGCCAATGTGGTCATCAATAGTCAACAACTCATAGAAAGGACCACGGGGGATCGGACGTCTGTATTGCATGTTGGGCGATCTCCACCGCCAACGCGTCACCCATGGCCAGGGTACCCAAACACAAATACAATGAACCTGAGTGTACTGAAGGATCATAACATTGTAAATGAGCAACCTCTGAAGCGGAGTATCGGATACCGATTGCATTGCGCTGAGCCCTCTTTGAAGAAACCCTGAAGGTATCATAGAGTTCACACAAGTCGTCGGAGGAGATCACAAGCTGTTCGTCGTCGGCGAGCGTAATCATAGAAACCAAATAGCCGCGGGCAAGAGTTTTGGTGTAGTTCGAATACGAGAACGACCTAGAGTTCACAACGCTCGGGTTCAAGATGAGGCGATCGAACTCGCTGTCTTTGGGTACAGCGAAAAGTCCAACGGTCTCCACTGGATCAACCCTTTCGCAGGACACCAGATTGCATGCCCCCAATTGGTCCCACTTCTCAGCCAACGCCAGCACCCCCGACTTGGACGCATGCACTTTTGCTTTAGCAACACGAGGCCAGTCGGTCTTTGGCCGTCGCAACACTTCAGGGTCTTCGAACGCTTGCTGAATGATTGGGTCAGTCAGATATGGACGGGGATCGAAACTCGGAGCCAGCTTCCACTTTATTCTAGAGGCTTTGACAGGCATGGCTGCGCAAGCGTTCAGAGACAACTTTTGCGGGCGGCGTGCACCCTGGTCGTCCTGGGCAGAGCCTTTGCCAGAGTTCCTTCTTTCTGAACCGTCACTATTCCGACTACGTGGATGCGAGTACGAATCAAAAGAGGATTGAATGAATGAGGTTTAAAAAACTAGCAATATCATCGAATTCAAACTCCTTGGAAAAATTGGGGAGTGTAAAAGCTGCAGCACTCAGTTTCTCACCGGCTCTACCCAAATTATCCAGGGTTACCTCACCACAACCCAAATAATACTCAACATCGCTTCTCGGCCAGCTGAAACAGGAAAGCCGGCGCGGGCATAGTCAGGAGGAGACCTGCATTGTCCAAGGGCCAGCCAATTCATCACGTGGCGAAGCCGTCGCCTTCTTCTGGGATTTGGAGAAACTGAGGTGTCGGCCGTCCATCGCCTCGGAGGGGGACAAGGCCAGAGATCGCCTCGCGGTTGCAAGGCCCAAGCATTGCGGACAGGGTGACAGCTGCGATGGAGAAAATGAGCAAGATCCGAACCAGACCCCGCTGCTGTAGCAATCGCTGTCACCACCTCGGTGCACCTAATTGGAACTGGAAACTGACCGCCCGGGTGGTGCATCCCGGAGAAGGCTTCATGCTCTGAGGCCGTGCAGCTTCCGTCTCTTGGCTCGTAGCCGAACTGCCTATCTTCTTTCTGCACTCCATTGAAAATGCCGCCCGAAGCTCCCCCAGCCGCCTCCCGACCGGAAAAGACAGTAGGGCTACACACCCCCCGTCCTGAGGTAGAACAGCCGGCAAAGAGGGGACTAGAGGAGAGAGCGACGGAGTGCACTTGGCTCCATCTAGGCAGTCGACCCTTCTGTGGTCGCGCCAGCATTGGCCTTCTTTTTCTTTGGAGCTGGCTCTTCGCGCTCGTCCTCCTGAGCTCCGACTCCTTTCGTGGTTCCTGAGGTGGCCTTCATCTTTGACTCGAGGAAATCTGAGTCCTTCATGAATGCCACGTTGGCTCCAACCCAGCTCGCATTGGCTAGGCGACTGAATGGGCTCAGAGTGTTCGGAAGCCTGTTGCACTGGCCGTGCTTGAAGGCTCTCCCCCACCACCGTACTGAAATCGGGTCCTGCTGCTTTTGCTGC